CCACTCCAGACCCTGTTTGCCTGGGTGTCAGCAGCAGAGGCTGCAGAAGATAGAATATTGCTGAACAGCGAGTGTACCTGTCTGATTCTTACTTTGGAAGCTTCCTCTCAGGGGTGTACTCCACCCTGTGAGGTGTGGGGTGTCAGACTGCCCCTAGTGGGGGATGTCTCCCAGTTAGGCTACTCAGGGGTCAGGGACCCACTTGAGCAGGCAGTCTGTCCCTTCTCAGATCTCAACCTCCGTGTTGGGAGATCCACTGCTCTCTTCAAAGCTGTCAGACAGAGTCGTTTGCATCTGCAGAAGGTTTCTGCTGCTTTTGTTGTTGTTGTTGTTGTTTAGCTCTGCCCTGTTCCCAGAGATGGAGTCTATAGAGACAGGCAGGTTTCCTTGAGCTGCTGTGAGCTCCACCCAGTTCGAGCTTCCCAGCAGCTTTGTTTACCTACTTAAGCCTCAGCAATGGCGGGCGCCCCTCCCCCAGCCTCGCTGCTGCCTTGCAGTTAGATCGCAGACTGCTGTGCTAGCAATGAGGGAGGCTCCATGGGCGTGGGACCCTCCCGGCCACGTGTGGGATATAATCTCCTGGCGTGCCCGCTTGCTTAAAGCACAGTATTGGGGTGGGAGTTACCCGATTTTCCAGGTGTTGTGTGTCTCAGTTCCCCTGGCTAGGAAAAGGGATTCCCTTCCCCCTTATGCTTCCCAGGTGAGGCGATGCCTCGCCCTGCTTCAGCTCTCGCTGGTCGGGCTGCAGCAGCTGACCAGCACCGATTGTCCGGCACTCCCTAGTGAGATGAACCCAGTACCTCAGTTGAAAATGCAGAAATCACTGGTCTTCTGTGTCGCTTGTGCTGGGAGTTGGAGACTGGAGCTGTTCCTATTCGGCCATCTTGCTCCACCCTGACATCTGTTATTTTCTAACTTTCAAATAATAGCTATTCTTAATGGTGTGAGATAGTAACTCGTAGTTTTCATTTGCATTTCTCCAACAATTGGTGATGTTAAGCATTTTTTCATATGCTTGCCGGTCGTGTGCATATTTTCTTTTGAGAAGTGTCTGTTCATGCCCTTTGTCCATTTTTAATAGGTTTTTTTTCTCGTTAAATTGTTTAAATATCTTAAAAGATTCAGAATATTAAACCTTTGTCAAATGCATGGTTTGGAAATATTTTCTCCCATTCTGTAGGCTCTGTTCACTCTTTTTATAGTTTCTTTTGCTATGCAGAAGCTCTTTAGTTTAATTCGGTCCCCCACTCTCATATTTTTGTTTTTGTTGCAATTGTTTTCGGATATTTTATTATGAAATCTTTGCAAAAATCTATATCCAGAATGGTATTTTTTAGGTTCTTGTTTGGGGTTTCTATAGTTTTAGGTCATACATTTAAGTCTTTAATCCATTTTGAGTTAATTTTTGTATATAGTGAAATGAAGGTGTCCAGTTTCAGTGTTCGGCATATGACTAGCCGCTTATTCAAGCCCCGTTTATTGAATAAGGTAGACCTTTTCCCATTGATTGTTACGGTTGACTTAGTCAGAGATTACATAGTTATAGGTGTGTGGCTTTATTTCTGGGTTGTATAACCTGTTACATTCATCTGTGTGTCTGTTTTTGTACCGTTACTATGATGTTTTGGTTACTGTAGACTTATATTGTAGTATAGTTTGGAGTCAGGTAATGTAATGCCTCCACTTTTGTTCTTTTTGCTTACTTAGAATTGCTTTGGCTGTTTGGGATTTTCTTTTTGTCCCACATACATTTTAAAATAGTTTTTTCCTATTTCTATGAAGGATTACATTGTTGGTTTGGAAGGAATAGCATGAATCTGTAAATTGGTTTGGGCAGTATGGCCATTTTCACAATATTGGTTATTTCTATCCATGAGCACGGAATGTTTTCCCATTTGTTTGCATTGTCTCTGATTTCTTTCAGCAGTGTTTTGTAATTTTAATGGTAGAGATCTTTCACCTCCCTGGTTAGCTTTATTCCTAGGTATTTTATTCTTACTGTGGCTATTGTAAATGGGATTGCATTACTGATTTACCTCTCAGCTTGGATGTTATTGGTGTATGAAAATATTACTGATTTTTGTACATTGATGTTGTATTCTAAAACTTTACTGAAGTTGTTTATCAGTTCTAGGAGTGTTTGGGCAGAAATTATGGCGTTATCTAGGTATCGAATTATATAATTGTGAACAGTGACAGTTTGACTTCCTCTTTGCCAATTTGGATGCCCTTGATTTTCTTCTCTTGCCTGATTGCTCTGGCTAGGATTTCCAAGTACTATGTTGAATAGGAGTGGTGACAGTGAGCATCCTTGTCTTGTTTTAGTTCTCAAGGGACATGTTTCCAGCTTTTGTCCATTCAGCATGGTGTCAGCTGTGGGTTTGTCATAGATGGCTCTCTTTATTTTGAGGTATATATTCCTTTGATACCTAGATTGTTGAGGGTTTTTAATATGAAGGGATGTTGAATTTTATCAAAAGCATTTTCCGCATTTATTGAAATTATCATGTAGTTTTAGCTATTATTTCATTTTTATGTGCTGAATCACATTTGTTGATTTGCATATGTTGAACTAACCTTGGCATCCCAGGAATAAAGCCTGCTTGATTGTGATAGATTAGCCTTTTATGTGTTGCTCAATTCAATTTGCTAGTATTTTGTTGAGAATTTTTGCATCTGTGTTCATCAGGGAATTTTTTTTTCCTGTTGTGTCTCTGACAGGTTTTGGTGTAAGAATGATGCTGGCCTCATAGAATGAGTTAGGGAGGAGTTCCTCCTTCTCAATTTTTGGAATAATTTTAGTAGCATTGGTACCAACTCTTCCTTGTACATCTGGTAGAATTTGACTGTGAACTTGTATGGTCTAGGGCTTTTTCTGGTTCATAGGGTTTTTTTTTTTTAATTACTGATTTAATTTCAGAACACATTATTGGTCTGTTCAGGATTTCAGATTTTTATGGTTCAATCTTAGGAGGTTTTATGTTTCCAGGAATTTATCCCTTTCTTCTAGGTTTTCTAGTTTGTGTGCATAGAGATGATTGAAATAGGGTTTTTTTTTGTGTTATGCAGGGTTATGGTAATGTTTGCTGCCCCAAGGATTTGTCTAATGCTATCAGTGGGGTGTTGAAGTCTCCCAGTATTATTGTGTGGGTAACTAAGTCTCTTCATAAGTCTCTAAGACTTGTTTTATAAATCTTGATGTGTGTGTATATATATATATAAATATGACATATATATACACACACACACATATACACAAATATGTATATATTTAGGATAGTTAAGCCTTCTTGTTGAATTGAACTCTTTGTCGTTATGTAATGCCCTTCTTTTCCCTTTTGATTGTTGTGTGTTTAAAGTTTATTTTGTCTGAAATAAGAGCAACTTCTACTCTTCTTTGTTTTTCATCTTGAGTGATCTTTCTCCATACTTTTACTTTGAGCCTGTGTGTGTCACTGCACGTGAAATGGGTCTCCTGAAGATGGCATATAGTTGGGTCTCACTTCTTTATCCAACTTGTCATTCTGTGCCTTTTAAGTGGGGCATCTGTATAATTTATGTTCAAGGCTAATATTGATATGTGAGGATCTGAGCCTGGTATCTTGTTGTTATCTGGTTGTTATGTAGATTTGAGTGCATGGTTGCTTTATAGTGTCAGTAGACTATGTACTTAAGTGTTTTTGTACTGGCAGGTAATGGCCTTTTTGTTTCCACATTTATCACTCCCTTAAGGACATCTTATAAGGCAGATCTGGCAATAAATTCCCTTAGCATTTTCTTGTCTGAAAATTATTTTATTTCTTCTTCACTTATGAAGCTTAGTTTTGCTGGCTATAAAATTCTTGGTTGAAATTTCTTTTAAGAATGCCAAAGATAGGCCCCTCATCTCTTGTGGCTTGTAAGATTTCTGCTGAAAGGTCTAGTGTTAGCCTGATGGGGTTCCCTTTGTATATGACCTGCCCCTTCTCTTCAGTTGCCTTTAGCATTTTTTCTTTCACACTGACCTTGGAGAACCTGAAGACTATATGTCTTGGGGATGGTCCTCTTGTAGTATAGTATCTCACTGGGGTTCTCTGAATTTCTTGAATCTGGATGTAGACCTTTCTAGCAAGGTTAGGGAAATTTTCATAGACGATATCCTCAAATACATTTTCCAAGTTGCTTGCTCTCTTTCCCTAATTTTCTGGAATGCCATTGAATTGCAGGTTTGGTATCTTTATATAATCCCACATTTCTTGGAGGTTTTGTCTTTTTTTTTTTTTTTGAGATGGAGTCTCGCTCTGTCACCCAGGCTGGAGTGCAGTGGTGCAATCTCGGCTCACTGCAAGCTCTGCCTCCTGGGTTCATGTCATTCTCCTGCCTCAGCCTCCCGAGTAGCTGGGACTACAGGCACCCGCCACCACGCCTGGCTAATTTTTTGTATTTTTAGTAGAAATGGGTTTCACCATGTTAGCCAGGATGGTCTTGATCTCCTGACCTCGTGATCTGCCCGCCTCAGCATCCCAAAGCGCTGGGATTACAGGCATGAGCCACCACGCCTGGCCTTGGTTTTATATATTTTTTGATCCTTTTTTTATTTTGTCTGACTAAATTTATTTGCAGAACGTGTTATTCAAGCTCTGATATAACAAGTTCCTCAGCTTGGTTTACTCTGTTGTTAAAACTTCTGGTTGTGTACTATTATGAATTTTTTTTTTTTTTTTTTTTTTTTTTTTTTTTTTTTTTAGACAGAGTCTCACTCTTGTCACCCAAGCTGGAATGCAATGGTGTGATCTTGGCTCACTGCAACCTCCACATCCCAGATACAAGCAATTCTCCTGCCTCAGCCTTCCAAGCAGCTGGGATTACAGGTGCCCACCACCATGCCAATCTAATTTTTGTATTTTTAGTAGAGACAGGGTTTTACCATGTTGGCCAGGCTGGTATTGAACTCCACACCTCAGGTGATCTGCCCGCCTCAACCTCCCAAAGTGCTGGGATTACAGGCATGACCTGCCATGCCCAGCCAATATTATGTAATTCTTGTAGTGAGTTTTTCAGCTCTAGATCTGTTAGATTCTTTCTAAAAATGGCTGTTTTGTCTTTCAGCTCTCATATAGTTCTGTTGGATTCCTTAGATTCCTTGGATTGAGTTTCTACTTTCTCTTGAATCTTGGTGATCTTTGTTGCTATAAAGACCCTGAATTCTATGTCTATTATTTCAGTCATTTTGGTCTGTTTAAGAACCATTGCTGGGGAGCTGATTCAGTCTGGTTAAGAACCATTGCTGGGAGCTAACAGAGTCATTTGGAGGTAAGAAGACACCCTGACTTTTACAGTTGCCAAAGTTCTTGCACTGGTTCTTTTTCATTTGTGTTGGCTGATGTTCCTTTAGTATTTGAAGTTGCTGTTCTTTTTGGGTAGGCCTTCTTGTTTTTATATTCTCTGATTCCCTTGAGGGTTTGACTATGGTTAAGTCGGGTTTAGTTGATTGGTTTCTTTTCCAGATGCTTTTGGGGGCCAAGGCTTAGCTCAACACTCCTGGGCTGCATGCTGTGTTTCTGGGGTCTGGGAATAGGTATGCAGTTTTGTTCTCTGGCTCCTTGAGGTTAAATACCTGCCGTACTGGAGGGGCTGAGGTGTCCCAGTCCACTGGCAACAACACTTCAATGGGGACTGCCAGCAAAAGTGCTGGTGGGGCGGCAGTCCACCCTTTTGTGTGTGTGTGCTGGCTATGTGGTGCTGTGTCAGTGCAAATGTGTGTACTGGCAGGTTGGCAGGGGTCATTGCATGTGTGTGCACTTGTGGTGGGTCCATGTGCTGATGCATGCTGGTGGGGTGGTGCTGGGTCCCTGCACATATACATGCTAGCAGGGCAGCAGGGGCTCCATGTGTGCATGTATGCTGGCACAGTGGTAGAGGGGCTGCAAGCAAGTGCACACCAGTTGGGGAGGCTGCCGGCAGGTACATGCCAGTAGAGGTCTGTGTGCAAAAGTGCTCCAATGGTTAGGGAAGGTCTGCTGGCAAAAGATATGACAATGGCCACTAGCAAGCTGAGGCTGTGCTACAAAAGAGCGTGGCCAGGCAGTGACCCTGGAAGAGGCTAGCAGACAGGACGCACTCAGATCTGACTGGCCCCATCCTATAGGCAAGACTACCCTGCTCTGTCCAGGTCTGGCAGCAAACAAAGGCTAAAGCTGACTACAGGTGTATGGTGAGCTTTGTGGAATAGGCATCCGTGGATGTACCCTATTGCAGCTGTTCCCATGCCAAACCTTCTGGGCTCCACACAGGCTGGAGTTCTATCTCTACTAACTCTCTGGAAAGTTCTCTCTGCCAGCTCAGATGTCCCTGGGGCTCGTGAAGTATCCCACAGCTACTGTCCCAGAGGTCTGTGGCAGAAGTAGGCCACTTCATGCCTATATTACTCACCAGTTTTCTAGGAGCTGCTCAAGGCCAGGAGCAGTTTTGGCACGTGGAAACCCCATGCACGGTTCCCAGTATCCTCCTCTTTCAGCCTGGGGTCTGCATCCTCCTGTCTGCTCTCAATGCCTTCTCTCCAAAGATCTGTTCAGAATGTCCTCCTTTCTTCATTGTGTATTTTTGGAACCTTTGTAAAAGATCAGATGACTGCAGTAGACACTTGAAGAACATGGGTTTGAACTGCCCAGGGTCCACTTACATGCAAATTTTCTTCCACCTCTGCTGTCCCTGAGACAGTAAGACCAACCCTGCTCTTTCTTCTCTTCCTCCTCAGCCTACTGAACATGAAGATGATGAAGATGATAATGATGAAGATCGTTATGATGATCCACTTCCACTTACTAAATACTAAATATACACGCTATTTCTTATGATTTTCTTAATGATATTTTCTTTTCTGTAGCTTACCGTATGGAAAGAATGCAGCATATAATATAATACATATAACACAAGAAATATGTAATAATTGGCTGTTTATATTATTTGTAGGGCCAACAGTAGGCTATTAGTAGTTTTTGGGGAGTCAGAAGTTATGCACAGAGTTTTTGGGGAGTCAGAAGTTATACGTTTTCACTGTGTGGGAAGTTGTCACCCCTAACCACCATACTCTTGAAGGGTCAACTCTATATATGTGTAGATTTATTTCAGAATTCTTTTCTGTTCCATTTGTCTAAACATGTACCAGTATGCCATACCATATTGTTTTAATTACTGTTGCTTTGTAATATATATTAAAATCAGGAAGTGTGATATCTTCAGCTTTTTTTTCAAGATTGTGTTGGCTATTCAGGAACTTTTGTGGTTCCATGTAACTTTCAGATTTTTTTTTTCTATATCTAGGAGAAATACTATTGGGATTGTGAGAAAAATTACATTATGTCTATAGATTGCTTTGGGTTGTATGGAGATTTTAACAATATTAAGTTTTATAATTTATGAATACAGGATAGCTTTCCATTTGTTTGTGTTTTCTATCAGTTTTTTTAATCAAAGCAAAAATAAACCAATGAGACTTTGTTAAACTAAGCAGCTCTTATACAGCAAAAGAACCAACGAGTAGAGTAAATATGGCAATCTAAAGAATGGAAAAAAATACTTGCAGAACATATTTCTGTTAAGACATTCAAGGCTGGGTGTGGTGGCTCATGTCTGCAACCCCAACACTTTGATGGGACAGAGGCAGGAGAATCACTTGAACTCAGGAGTTTGAGGCCAGCCTGAGCAACATAGTGAGGCCTTGTCTCTACAAAAAATACAAAAATTAGCTGGGTGTAGTGGCCTGAGGTCTCAGCTTCTTGGGAGGCTAAGGTGGGAAGATCACCTGAGTCCAAGAGAGCAAAGTTGCTGTGAGCCACGATTACACCACTGCACTCCAGCCTGGGTGACAGAGTGAGATTTCATCTTAAGAAAAAGCAAAAAAATAAAAAAGACAATCCAATGGCCAACAGGCAGCACCTGCTTGCAGGGCAGCCTCATATGGTGCCCTTGGGGACTGCGTTGTAGCTCCTGTGCTGGCAGACAATGCCTGACCAGTAGGAGCTCCAGTGGGGTGGCCCTTATGGCCACATGCCAGCCAGCCTGCTCTTTCTCCACACTGCAGCTTCCCCTAGGCTCATGGCAACCCCCACATTGTGTTGCTGGTGTGTGTGTGCATGGGCAGGCCTTTCTTTTCCTTGCCTTGCATGCATGTGTGTGTGCACCCTGCCCTGCTGCTGCTGTGGTAAGAGTACATTCCACACACCCCTACCACTGGACTGCCATTGTAATCAAAGCCTTGGCAGGCGCAGAACAGGTCAACCCTGCACCCTCCCACACCCTGCCCTTATACCAACACTGCCATGGGAGTAAAATTAGGCACAGAGGACAGTGGACTTTCCACCTCCCTAAGTGACCACCCCTGCTTTCAGTGCACAGAGAATGCACACAGACCTGTGCCCAAGTGCAGACTGCTCACGAGCTGTGCTGCCTCTGCCATCATGATGAATGTCCACATAGAGGCAGGCATTCCGGCACCTACTAGCATCCTGTTGCAGCCAAAGAGGGTTCACCTATGGAGGGCTCACCAAACAGGGTTCTGTGCTGCCACAGACACTGCAGCTGACATGTGCAAAAAGGATAGTCCCATTGACACTGCACTGTGAAATGCATTGACTGACACTACCCATCAGAGTGTAGTGACCAGTGGTGTGGGAGCACCTTGCCCACCTCCAGTGCAGTGGATTCCTGATCTCAAGGAGCCAGAGAACAAAGTCAGGGCCTGATGTAAGTCCCCCTGAGTTAAGAGTACACAGTCCAGGATTTGGGAGCTGAGCATCGCCCCCTACAATCTTCCAGAAAGGAAGCCAGTTGGCTGATTCCACCTTATACCACAGTCAAACTTTCAAGGTCATCAAATAGGATAAAAGAAAAAAAAAACACCCAAAGGTCAGCAACTTCAAAGATTGAAGAAACATCAGCCCACAAAGATGAGAAAGAACCAATTCAAGTACTTTGACAACTTAAAAAACCAGAGTGCCTTCTTCCTTCCAAAGTTCCATACCACCTCTACAGCATGGGATCTGAACTGGGCTGAAATGGTTGAAATGACAGAAACAGAATTCAGAATATAGATAGGACTGAAGATCATTGAGATGCAGGAATATGTTGAAAACCAATACAAGGAAACTAAGAATCACAATAAAATGATACAGGAGCTGACAGGCAAATAACCAGTATAGAAAAGAATGTAACTGACCGACAGAGTTGAAAAGTACACTATAAGAATTTCATAATGGATTCAAAGAATTAATAGTAGAATAGACAAAATTGAGGAAATAATCTCTGAGCTTGAAGACTGGCTTTCTGAAATAAGATAGTCAAGAATAGAGAAAAAAGCATGAAAATAAATGAACAAAACCTCCAAGAAATATGGGATGATGTAGAGAGACCGAATCTACAACTCATTGGTGTCCCCAAAAGAGATGGGGAGAGGGTAAGCACTTTGAAAAAGTATATTACGCATAAGAACTTTCCCAATCAAGCTACGGAGGCCAACATCCAAATTCAGGAAATGCAGAGAATCCCAGTAAGATACAGCACAAGAAGATCACCCCCAAGATGCATAATCATCAACCTCTCCAAGGTCAAAATGAAAGAAAAAATGTTAAAGGCAGCTAGAGAGAACAGTCAGTTAACCTACCAAGGGAAACCCATAAGACTAACAGTGGACCTTTCAGCAGAAACCCTATAAGCCAGAAGAGATTGGGGGCCAGTATTCAACATTCTTAAAGAAAAGGAATTCCAACCCCAGATTTCATATCCAGCCAAACTAAGCTTCATAAGTGAAGGAGAAATAAGATCCTTTTCAGACAAGATAATGCTGAGGAAATTTGTTACCACTAGACCTGCCTTACAGGAGCTCCTGAAGGAAACACTAACTATGGAAAGGTAAGACCATTACCAGCCACTACAAAAACACATCTAAGAACATGGACCAGTGACACTATAAAGAAATCACACAAACAAGTCTGCATAATAACCAGGTAGCATCATAACAGGATCAAATCCATACATGTCAATACTAACCTTGAATGTAAATGAGCTAAATGCCCCAATTAAAAGGCACAAAGTGTTAAGATGAATAAAGAACCAAGACCCAGTGGTATGCTGAATTCAAGAGACCCATCTCACATGCAATGACATGCATAGGCTCAAAATAAAGAGATGGAAAAAAATTTACCAAACAAATGGAAAACAGAAAAAAGCAGGGATTGCAATCCTAATTTCAGACAAAAGAGACTTTAAACCAACAAAGATGAAAAAAGACAAAGAAGGGCATTATATAATGGTAAAGGGTTCAATGCACCAAGAAGGCTTAACTATTCTAAATATATATGCACTAAACACAGGAGGAGCCAGATCCATAAAGCAAGTTTGTACAGACCTTTGAAGAGATTTAGACTTCCACACAATAATAATGGGAGGCTGTAACACTCAACTGACAGTATTAGACAGATCATCAAGGCAGAAAATTAACAAAGATAGTCAGGACCTGAACTCATCACTGGATGGACCTAATCGACATCCACAGAACTCTCCACCCAAAAGTAACAGAATATACATTCTTCTTACCACTACATGAGACATACTCTAAAATTAACCACATAATCAGACAGAAAACACTCCTCAGCAAATGCAAAAGAACTGAAATCATAATAACAACTCTCTTAAATGGCAGTACAATCAAATTAGAAATTAAGACTAAGATATTTACTCAAAATCATACAGTTACATGGAAACTGGATAACCTGCTCCTAAATGACTTTTGAATTAAGAATGGAATTAAGGCAGAAATCAAGAAGTTCTTTGAAACTAATGGGATCAAAGATACAACATAACAGAATCTCTGGGACACAGGTAAGGCAGTGTTAAGAGGGAAAGTTATAGCACTGAATGCCTACATCAAAAAGAGAGATTTCAATTTAGCAACCTAACATCACAGCCAACCCCAAAGGTAGCAGAAGACAAAAAATAACCAAAATCAGAGCTGAACTGAAGGAGACTGAGACACACAAAAAAAAACTATTCAAAAGATCAGTGAATATAAGAATTGGGTTTTCAAAAAATGTGTAAAATAGATAGACTTCTAGACAGACTAACAAAGATGAAAAGGTCCAACTGAACAAAATCAGAGATGATAAAGTGGATATTATCACTGACCCCACAGAGGTGCAAACATCCAACAGAGAATATCATGAACACCCCTATGCACAAATACTAGAAAGTCTAGAAGAAATGAATAAATTCTTGGACATATACACCCTCCCAAGACTGAACCAGAAAGAAATAGAATCCCTTCACAGACCAGTAATGACCTCCAAAATTGAATCAGTAATAAATAGCCTACCAACCAAAAAAGCCCAGGACTGGACAGATTCACAACCAAATTCTTCCATTTGCACAAAGAGGAGCTGGTACAATTTCTACTGAAACTATTCCAAAAAAATTAGGAGCGATTCTTCCCTATCTCATGCTATAAGGCCAGCATCCTTCTGTACAAAAATCTGTCAGAGGCACAACAAAAAAAGAAAACTTCAGGCCAGTATCCTTGGTGAACATTGATGCAAAAATCTCCAACAAAGTATTGGC